GTTGCTTATGATAGGTTTATCAAACATGCACATGCTTTTAGAAAAGATGTTAACAGCTTTTATGTTAAGCAAGTTACCAAAGAATTTGTCCTTACCCATTTCAAAAGTGTTCACAATATGTGTTTATGAGATTTAACGAGTCGTTCATCCGATAACTTAACATTTCTGCATGCAGTGAAGCGACATTTGAGATTCAACAACGATAACTTAGACAAGCTGCAACATAACATAAACCCAATTTGTGTCGCTAGTGTCTTATCCTTCACTTTTAATAAACGGTCAAGCATCTCGAATACAAATGTATGGAAAACGTTCTGGCATATTTGAGACTTTAGAGATGTCAGGTAATAACCGAAATTAAAGCAATATTGAAGCAACATGATTTTTTTTCGCTTTGCCGAATATATTGAAGAATGAAAAAACAGCATATAGTAATTCTACAAACATATGAGTAAAATTTATTATTAAGTAAATTATTTCATACTTTATTTATATTTAATCAATTTTTGTTTTCAAACCGTCAGCATTACCAGTGCATGAAGTCAAATAAAGTTCGAATGTCCATTTGCTTCATAGATTCTGCTCTCCACCATCCTGCCAAAAAAGTAAAAAGGGAAAGTTCATTCCATGGCGGAATATAAATATTCATTATTTCTCCATTATTATATTTTTTAGTATTTTCGGTGACTTTCATGCATGTATTTAACGTTTCGCAATCCTAACGCGAAATGATAGTAGCTGAATCTATTTTCTCTTCTTTACTGTCCATGTTTTTTGGTATCTGTGAATTCAATACACTTTGCTATTCAATAGATTTTTACAACACACTTAAGATGTTGTGAATTAACTCTTCCACAATGCAGCTAATGACATAGTAGCCAAAATATCGTTGTCTGTAAATTCTACTCATCCCTAACCAGTTTATTTTTATCGCTTTCAACCCATTCATAAATTTCGTTTCTTAAAACGTGACTAATCCTTTGTTCGAAAGAAGATTTTAAAATGTTTTAAATAAATCCGACTAGTTAGTTAAATCATCAGTATTTTTGTCTTCTTCGCTAGAATTTCGCTTCATGGTATTTGACAACAAATTTCTCCAAGCATTTTTAAAATTGCACTCTTTATATTGAACTGAACTTCGAAATCCTTGACACTACAGTCAGAATTTAATAAATTTTGCATAAAATGTCCCCCCCCTTACGTTTAAAATGTTAAGTCGTTCTTTGATATATAGGTTGGACTACCAGTATCTAGTTTCTGGTCAATTGTTAAAGTCATTTGTTTCCGTTTTACTCCTTATTCAGCCTTTTTACCAAGTTTTGAAAATGTTCTGATTAAATGAAGATAAAGAAAGCTAACGATATATACACCTGAAGTTTTGACAGAAGACTTAACTGAAAATGGTAAAAAAGATGCAAAGCAGCAATCGAGCCTTTCTCAAAATTGCCATATTGAAACACTAATTAGCACCATTTTATGGCAGAAATATCTATGAAATGGATGCTGGATTATCAGGTGGCTCCAATCGATGCTGGAATATCCGACTTTTAATTCTTCTGATCCCACTGTTAATCCTTCTGATAATTACTTGAACACTTGCCTTGAATTGTCCCCTTTCCTTTTAAAGAAAAACGGATATCGCATGTTCTAGTGCAATATCTGGTTTTTAACATTTTATTTTTTATCATTTTTTGTAAGAGCGTTTGATACTACAATACTGCTACATTTTTAACTCAGATATCTTACTCGCAGTGGTATACAGGTGTAGCAGGTGCGTTGGCACAATATTAAAAATGCAAGAAGTTTCGAAATGGAGCAAACCAAGAATTAGTGTAATTCTCACCCTGATAAAACTATTTATGAATAATTGTTAGTGTATCGCGTTTGCTTTATTGTTCCTGTCTCTATTCAGTGGTTCAAAAATAAAACTTTTATTTTTCTGATAGAGGTGGATGATTTGGACATCCTAATATTGCTTGCTTCCCATATCAGCCTGTTCTTTCCCAAGGCTTCCGCTTCTTGTGGATAAGACTCAGGTATGACTTTAACAACAACAGAACTGATGCTAATCCTTTGTCTTGCTGATAGTCCCAAAGTAACGATTTTTTTTTTTTAAATCACAGAAAAACTTTTATTCAAAACTATTACAATTCCCTTAATATCCCCAACATGAAAGCAAAATTACAGACGGTTTCTTGTTTTCAAAATGCCAATAGTTAGCATTGTTCTGGTTACAATGCAATAGCAAACATATCTCAGGTTCTATACGTAGAATAAACAGAGATACATTCAGAAATGCATTTTTGGCATCTTGCTGTCTAGACAAATTTGTCGTACATGAACGATGCCTTGTGATATATTGCTATGCTGTGACACTCATAATCCAAGTATGCAAAATACACTAGTGTGCGAATTTAAGAAAATTTGTTCTTTATGTCGAACTTCTGAGAAACTATTGGACAGATTTTAATGAAATTTGATGTGAATATACAAATGTGAATATACATATGTGAATATCACAAAGAAATAGATGTACCGATCAAAAGCCATTTTATATACGCATGATTATCAGTAACGCTCATAGTGCAGGGAGGCCTCAAATCCCTGCTGTTATATCGAACTGAAAGTTAGTCTAATATGCGGTATGGTCCTTTTTCACAACCAGACGGAGTGCGCAGCGTGGCAGCATATTGGACAGGCAGTTGATCCCACTCGTGCAGCAAGGCAGGTTTCAGCTCCAGGATGGTTCTCGGAGAGAAGAGCGAGATAAAACTGCCCTCCCAAGAACGTCCAAGACCTGCTGTATAAGGTTAAGGTCAAAAGATCTGGTTGGCCAAACGATTTGGCGAATATCCTCACTTCCCAGGTAATCTTCAACCAGCTGAACTCTATGTGGACAGGGGTTATCGCCCATTAACAGGACCATCTGCGCCCCTAAAAAGTAGAACACAAAGCTCTAAGATCTCCTCTCTATACCTCATACCAGTCAGAAAGCCTTTGTCAAACACATGCAGGGGTGTGCGGCCGTCCAACATAAAACCTTTCCAAACAATTACACCACCGTAATGATCTTTTTCCGTGAAGAAGGAGGGATGGCGTCGTATTCTAGGTTCTCTCCATACACAGGTACGCCGAGAATCAGTGTCGAAGCTGCATCTCGACTCATCCGCAAAACGCTACAGCTCTAACTAACTAAGTCTTTGGGCAGCTGTATACCGTGAAACTCGGGTTCCAGTGGCAGCATTCATCTCGCGTGAGATCTGTGGAGCTCTAACAGTCCTGTGTCGCCGCGCAGCAAGTGCCAAAGAGCTATCCTCAATCGTCGTTGTGGATCTTGGCCAACCTTGTCTTCCCTTGTCTTCTCGATATGCATACCATGTCCTGAACCTATTTCTGCAAACTTCAGACGAAACTGGGCGTTACATTGAACTCTCAAGTCACCTACGCTTGTGACTGGCCTACCTTCAGTCTAACGACAGTTATCCATATCATTCCTTCATCCATACTTTCGTGGCTACTGATTTTACCTGATACCGCATAAAATTTACCCAACTCTGGCCAGAAACATGGCGAATATCGTAAAGTAATAGGAGCATACAAGTTGCTGAAAACCTCTTATGCGCTTATATCCCTCCAAAATCACGGCTCCACAGAGTCGCGCGTGTAAGCATACGTATTCGACTTCGAATAATTCAAAATAATTCTTCGGCCGTATAATTGGCACCTTCAGTTCAATACTTTTCGTAGAAGTAGACATTATTTTTCAAATTATCTTAATTTTGCGCAGAAGTGTATTTGCTTTAATTGACAACCTGGTCCTGACCTACCGATATACTGATACTATAAAATACTTCAGCCATTAAACCGAAAAACATTGAAGAAATCAAATGCTTTACAATTAAGCTTCTAAAGTTTTCTATATTCCTTCTTTCTTCTGTTATATAATTACTAATTATGTCACAAAATACACAAAGTTTTGTTCCTCTTTTGATTTTTGAAACTGTATGTTATTTCAGGTGTACATATTAGTCTCAAATTGTGAGGAAAAGGGAATGAATTTTCTTATCACTTTTTAAACATTGAGGGAGAGAGTTTCTGCGGAAGAGTGTACACACGACAAATTTTGGAGTATATTATAAAAGCTACCTTGCAGTTGAAAACATATTTAAGTGTAATTGTAAAATACAAACACGAGTTTAAAATGAGTTTAAATGAGCTGATGTGAATTTAAACTCCGTATATTTACAATTGAACTTAAAAACCGAAACATTAACCATTCATGTGAAAGACATTCCGTAGACGTTCGAAATTAATTTTTGAAATTATTGTGAGAAATTAATTTCGAACTCTTTGTATTTAACTGTTATGTGAATATTCATAAAATTTTACTTAGCATAAATGCACTAATATTCTTTTTAAATATATGTATTTTTTCTGTAAGTGACTGTGACGCATTAGCACATTTATTTCAACAATATGTATATATAAAACTGCCATGGAGAATCACAGCGGTGTCTTTTTCAGAGAAATTCTGCCACATAATGTTTTTATTGCTTGCGATATCTACAATATTGTGTTTTCAGATTGTCCTTTAAGTGCTCAATATTCTTTCACAGATTTCTTATTCATTGAGAAAATTCTACATCCCAGAAAGAAGGAAATATATGACCAAAATAAATCCTATTTCTCAGAAAAAATACATTTCCTTTATTAATTAGAGAAAAGGGAGGGAAAGGAAGGAAACCTTCGAACTAAACAGAAATGAAATAAACAAATGATTACTCATTATCGTCGAGATTCTTTCTTATATTTGAGAAAGGTGAGCCTCGAACGGCAGCCGTAATAGAAAGCGTAACGGAGAGATTTAGAGACAGGAAGGTCGCGTGGCGATCAACCAATTAGATGACGAGTGCCAGCTTACGTCATTCGGCTAGTGGACGAACAGCGTGCCTGAGTAAGTTCAGCGCGCGAGCATAAAATGAGCTCGTGGTTAATTCTTTATGAAAACGCACACAGGGATTCAGATCGGAACTCACACCATTCACCCGTTTGTTCCTTCAGCAATGTCCCAGATGATCTACCCCTACGAGAACGGGCACCCCGACGTCCGAACTGGGGAGGACAACTCTCTCTTTTCTACCGTAGACCCAGCGCCCCCAGTAGAGATCTTTGCTCTCCACAAAGCTTATCATGAGGACAATTTTGCAAAGAAAGTTGACCTCACTATCGGAGGTAAGAACAACAGTAAAGTTCATTTCACTATCATAATATTGTAAACACAATAACCTCTCAAATAGCTCTGCAGATATCCATCATTAAAAGGTTCCTTAAATATATAAAAATATAAGTATATAAAAATCACCTATTTTAATACGGACCTTGTAGATTTTAATTTTTTTTATTAGCATTTTTTTTTTTCAAATGACATCATAAATATCATTCACAGTGAAAAGTGATTGCTGTTCAACAACATTTACTTGGGCCTTATTTTTAAAGAGAATTTAATATCAACTGGATAGAAGGATATTCAACGATGATATATTAGCAAATACAAGTATCTGTATAATTCCAAATGTGTTTCCATAATTTTCTGATACAACAGACTTCTCGATTTTATTGTGTACTCTAATTTCTCTCTTTCAGACTGTATATTTTAAATACTCACGTTTATTTAATTGCTATAAAATGCAAGAGTAACCCTACTTTCATCCCCCCCCTTTTTTTTTCCTTTTTTTGAAAAGGGGTTTCTTTGTTTAAATCAGATTAAAGCGGATGAAATATATTTCTTTCTATGTTCTCTGTTTTGATTTCAAAAATAGTTCTTGTTACTTTGAGTTTAAACTGTTAAATTTCATAAATATGCAAAGATTTCCCCTTCTTATTCTTAAATTTAAATTTACCCACATCATTTGCTTTCCATTCATCAACAAAATTAAGTCTTAGTTTCTAATATTTTTATACCCTTTTTTAGTCGAGTGACTATTTGTACTCTGTAAATTGTACGTGGATGTTTATGTATGTTTACATTGCTGTATCATTTGGAGCCTCTCTTTTAAAAATATGTTAAGAAAGAGTAATGAAGAATAAGCTACTAATATTTTAACAGTTTAATAACATCTTAAATGTCCTCGTTGTCTGTTCAATAGTAATATGAATTTTAAGACTGAGCTCTATTCCAGTTTATCATTTCTGTCTTACTACCATTTCTGAAAGAGGGTAGAGAGGAATGAATAGCATAAGTTAAAGAGAATCATTGCTCGCAAAATGCGCTCGGTATTTTAGGTAGGCAAATTATTTCGTGGATCACTCAGAGGGTTTTATATATGCCTTTTTGGGATACTTTTCAACGGAAATTTGTTGTTGAATTTCAACTGAGGAAAACCAATAGAAATACCCACTCAGCCAGCCCGCTCAACCATCGAGCATAGGTAGTGAGATAAATAACTGTCTTTCGATTATCTTATCTACCCAATCGACCTCGGCAGAGACCCCGTTATGAACAACTATTCTGATGATCTAGATGTTGTAGCTTACTGATACCTGAAGACGGAAGAATCTGAAGATTCATAAAAGCACTAGCATTCTTTCTGAAATATGCGAGCTCCAAAACTAAAGTCTCCGGAATAAGGTGTCATAGTTTTGTACATGCTGTTTCATTATAAAATGGGTAACCTTTGCAAAGAGGAGTTAGCAAAATAATTTGTGAAATTTGAATCGCATGTAGAATTATTTAAGCTACAAGCTGCAATCTATGTTTGTCACAGACACTTTTCTTATTTTAATAAATCATTATAGTCTAATAGTTTGAAAAGTAGTTTTTCAAGAAAAGAAAATATTTCTAAGGAAATTCCTGAAATAACAGGAATGACAGATGTATTGTTATTACCTGTGATTCAGATAGAAGTATCTGTTGCGCTTGAAGGAAGATGAAACAGTTTTCACCTAAAGAGGTCTATTTAGCCTTAATTGAAAATATTGATAGTTAATTGTACGGGGAGAGGTTCGTTTGGAACTCTTAATTCAAATGAAATGCGATTATAATTGTACTAATTCAAAACTTTTTAATCAAAGTAGAGCATATCAAAACTTTCACTTTAAATTATATTCAGATGCATATTCATTATTTGCTAGCTTATATAATGGGTGAAATAATTTTGATCAAGCTGATTATTTAAAAAGCAGGTAACTATGTAGAGACATTAGGATTTTTTTGGAAGCTGGTAAGATGAAAAATGAGCAATCACCTTCCTTGGGAACGAACCACGGTCCTCTGGAATACTGGCCCAGCGTGCATAACCACTACACCACGAAGGCACGCTAAGAAGGTGGGAGAAATACCTTATAACTAGTTTCTAAATAGTTAATACACTCAAAGCAAAGCTAACTTGAAATCATTGGGAAAGTTCTAAGTCACGATTATCCGTTCAAGTAATGTATTTTGATACAAAAAGTTTGATAACAAGAAATAGTAACAAAAATTTGATGATGAGTAAAAAAAATCATTAAATATTATTTTTGTTGACTCAGTGGCAAAATGAGAGATTCTGTTTTTGATCTCCTATTGAAGAAAGATTTCTAGAATATAATTACTGCATTAAGTAAGTTGTCATATTCTTAATCTTGCACTCATCTTTCAACGAGTAAAATAACCCGTACAAGTATTTTTTGTAATCGCTCTTGCGAACACTTTACATAAAGTCTTTGATCCAGATAACCAGCTTAATATTTCTTCGAATGATTTTATGAAGTTTCGCTAAATAAGAATTTAATAGTATTACGCCTCGCAGTGAAATATACATAAACAAATTTGAATGATAATCAGGATAAAAAAATGCTGCTCTTCTTACTTCTTTAAGTGTCCTCAGATTAACGGGAATCCGGTTCTTCTCGTGCTAGAGGCAACAAACTTTCACAGTTCTATGTCAAGGCCGTCATTCTCAGAAATGGTTCAAAATGCGTGAAAGGATCTGAACTTGCTCGATGATTCTGGTTGAAGGCGAAAGAACAAAAGCTCTTATCAATGTGCTTTGAAATTTTGGGTCCCATAGCAAACAAACTGAAGATAATTTGTTTTTCGGCACCAACTAGTGATTCAAAACGCGCTTGCAATCATACGACAATAAAAACATTTCCGTAAATTACGTTTGCTTCCTCAGATTAAAATGCACCTTTGTAACGCAAATAAATATTTTGCACATTAACTTTAGCACGCTATAATTGAAACTTTTACATGCATCAGATCTGGAGTGATATTTTTAATATTTCTATCTCTGTTTTATAGATTTCTATGACTTAAAGATGTTGAAACAAACTTTTTTCTTTTACCAAGATTGGAGAAAAGTCTTTTCTGTTTTAAGGAAAATTTTAAAACTATATTGCTCATTTTCAATTATTTAAATATCCACTTTTCTTTTAATTAATTCTCATTTAATTTAGGTTCTATTTTAAAATTAATTTGTACATATCCATTCTTAAGAGATTCCTCACGCTTAGTTTGTTAGCCCTTTTGTATTAAATTTTTTGAGTTGGCAGTTAATTTGTTTAATTCATTGTTTTTTTTGCTTAATTGTGAACATTTTAATTGAGGAACGTTTTTCAGTGAGTTTTCCGTTCTGCATGGTGGACTTATTTCAGATTCTGATTACTTAATAAAGCCTTCTTCTTTCACTGTTAAATTTATTTCGGTTGTTATTTAGAAATATGCCGTTGCTTTGATTTAAGTCATTTCCATTGCTTAACAATATTATAATCAGGAGAATTAATTTCATTTCTTTCTCTATTTGGGTACCCAATATATGTAACATTTCTTTCTCTGTTTGAGTACCCAATATATATGTTAATTTCTTTCTCTGTTTGGGTACCCAATATATGTTACATTTCTTCTTCTGATTGAGTACCCAAATATGTGTTTCATTTCTTTCTCTGTTTGGGTACCTACGCTGCAAGTTCTTTTGTTCGATTCGTTATCACCATAAAACTGGATTTAAAAGCAAAAGTGACTTAAAACTTAAATTGAGTTGACTTAAAAACAAAACACGCAGAACGCGAGGGGGGAAGGTGAGAGGTCCCGAAGCAGTTTTTTTTTAATTTCTTTCCCACTTCCCCCCCTTCCTCCTTCTCGTTATACCAGCGTCAGTCTGTGCAACCTTAAGAAAGGCTTGTTTCAGAACTTATCATTTTATATTACTCTGTTCATTCCATTGGTAAAGAATTTTTCAGTAGCAAAGTAGCGTAATTTGCAGTACTAATTTATTTTATTAAGTTGAGAGAATGTTAAGTGAATTCTTTCTAAACGAAATCTTAAATGACTATTTTTATTTAACGATTATCAGTGGAAGTCGCTGTACCGTCAGAACAACTTTTCTATCTAAAATATGATGCAATGCAGTGTCGCTGTTGAAGTACTATGTTTCTTAAATTAAGGAAGAACTGTCATGCATAATTGCAGTTTTGATCTATCCGAAGAAGGAGGTTACAATTTAAGTTAATATTTATAGGAAAGAAATTGCTCTAGGGCTTGTAGAATTTCCGTTGTATCGCTTAAAATTTTGAAAATATTTAACTTTAAGTTTCACATTAGGAGAATTTCCATTGAATGAAATGCGATTACAATTGTACTAATAATATTCCACTGAGATAACTAAGATTTTGACTGAAGAATTAGGGTATTTCTAAATGAAGCTTTATAAATCTTCTGTTGATACTTCTACCTCAGCTGAAAACAGCAAGTTGAAAAACTAAAGCAAAGGTTATAAGGTATTTCTCCAGCCTTCCTAGCGTGCCTTCGCGGTGTAGTGGTTCTGCACGCTGGGCCGGTATCCAGAGTTCCGTGGTTCGATTCCCGGCGAAGCCGATTGCTCATTTTTCATCTTGCCTGCTTCCAAAAAATACCTAATGTCTCTACAAGGTGTCCAAGTTTTCAAAACTTCAGGGCCTCATTGCCCAAAAAGATAAGAGGAAGGCCACACAGTCTAAGAAAAGTTACGCTAAGGGCTGCAACACAGAGTTTAAAGTGTATTAAAGACAAAAAATATAATATTTCTATCTCAGTGAATGGAAATATATTTACTTTTTTATCCAAAACGTGTTTATCAAGAAAATATATGAACTCAGCAATTTTAATGTGCATATTGAGTCTTTATTATGTTAGTGCCTGTATATCTATGTATAATAGATGGACAATAGAGAGGATGTAAAGATGGATGGATGCAAAGAATGTACTCAAAAGTTCA